GCTCCCTGGGTGCCCGGGCTTTGGAGACAAAAGACGCGGGCGGGGCATGGGGTGCGGTGAGGGAGGAGCTGCTCTCTCCTCCCTATTCGCCCCGCACCCCGCCCGGGCGCTGGGGTCTTCTCGCGCGGCCCCGCCCTGGACTACAGCCAGGCCTACGGCTGCAGGGGACCAGGCGGCCGTGCGTACCAACATCTGGCATAGCTGACACCGCCCCACCCTCGCGGACGGAAGGTCAGGCTGACCCCGCCCTACTGGTGGGGAAACTGAGGCCAGAGAACTTAAGTCCCTCAGTCCAAGACGCCAGACCTCCAGTGGCAGATTTTGACTGGGACCTGCAGCCCCAACGGGGAGAGGGGGCGCTCGCAGGTGCTTGCTAACTGCAAGGTCGGCAGTTCGAAACCACCAGCTGCTCCCAGGGAGAATGACGGTGCTTTCTACTCCCCTCAAGATTTGTAAGTCTTGGAACCCCACAGGGGCAGTTCTACCCTATCCTTTAGGATCACTAGGAATCGGCATCCACTCCAGGACAAGGAAGGTTTTTTTTTTCTAGAATCCGTTTAGCGTCTCTGAGCACCCTTTGACTACCAGGCTCCAGCAGATCCTGGGGCCCCCCTGTCCAGCACAGAAGGCGACAACCAACTGCCTCCCGGAGCCCTTCCTCTGGCAGGGGGCAGGGCTGCATGGTTGGGTGTTGAGTGCCCACTGGGCGTGGTCTCTGGTCTTTAACTTGGTGGTTAGTCACATGGCTGCCCCCTTAGCATTTCATGTAAAGATCAAGCAGTTATGCATCGACAGTTATTTATAATGTGTCACACATGTAACAGCACCATTGACTCTCAGGTATATTTGGTTTGGTTTTATTTTATTTAAGGCAACGAGTGTTTATAAAATAACTCAACCCCATGGATTTTCAGATGTCTGGTTAAGAGTGAATCCCAGGGGGATTTGGATCCGGGGCATGGCCCTTGGGCTCACCTGTAAAGAGGCCCCTGGAAGTAGAGCCTGTCACCCTGGCAATAACGGTAAAAAGATTCAGAAAACCACGTGGCCTCACTGACCAGAGACTGAATGCTCATGACCACCCAGGGAACCCTCACCCCACAGGCCAAGACCCTAGACACCGGACGCTGGTGGAGCTGTTTCTGGGCGCTGGGAAAGGGGCTGGGATTCCCCAGTCCTGAGCCCAGCACCTATCAGGGCTCCCCAGACATGTGGGGCTACAGCCCCTGGTCTACAAGCTGGAGAGAGCACCTGGGGGCACCCACTTTGGCTGCAGTTCATTACCCTCTGGCTGCTGGGAACAGGAGGCCCAGGTGACCAGGGTGAGGGGGCAAAGGCTGGGACTCAGACTGGATAGTAGATTTGCAGGGGAGCCCCCTGGACCCTAGATGGGGTGGCCCAGGGACGCCAGGCCATCAAGACATGGACAGGGTGGTGGGACATGTCAGGCCATCAGTGTCTAGGCCCCTGAGATGTGGATAGGGGGAGTAGACCATCCAGATATGGGCAGGGTAGTAGGGGACATCAAGTCCTAAGATGTGGGTGGGACCTCAGCCCCCTGAGATGGGGACAGAGGATGTCAGGCCCTCCAGACATGGATGGGGGGTCAGGCCCTGGAGCCCAAGGCCAGTCTTGGCACACAAGGCTCTGGCCTCACAGTTCCTGCTGAACCCTGCACGGGCCCAGCCCATCAGTGTGACCCCAGCTCATGCCCCTGCACCCGTGGAGGACCCGTCCATGGGACACTGAGGGAGCTTCCCGCTAGCCTGAGGTTGCATGGACTGGGTCTTGGTCCCCCCAGCCAAGGGCAGGGGCAGCACCCAGTGGCCGTTGGGAATGTGAGTGTTGAAAGGTGACCACAAACACCCCCTTGAAGGCAGGAGGAAGAGGGGGGGAAATGGGGCAACAAACGGGTCCCTGGGGTGCTGAGCCCTTCCTGACCGTTGGGAGTCCTGGATGAGGGTCTCTAGGGTGAGGCTCGCTTTCTCCAGGAGCCGCTGTGGGGAGGGAAGGCGAGGCCCAGCAGGCTTCGGAGCAGTCACGGCCACTGAAGGGGTGGGGGTGGGGCATTGGGGACCCCTGAAGTGGGGGGCTGAGACTCTGGGTACTGCTCACAACACCCCCAGGTGGTCCACACTCCACAGCTGCCCTCCATTTAACGGCAGGACACCGGGGCTGCAGAAGGCGCCCTGAGGGCCCAGCTGGCCCTGGGGATAGGGGCCTGGGACTCAGAGAGGAGGATGGAGGTACAGGTGGAACCTCAGGACCCTGTGTTTGCTCAGGGTGGGTCATACCCAAACCCCCTCCCTCACCGTGGGCTGAATACGGCCCCTGCTGTCCCCTCTGCAGGGAGTCTGGGCTGCCAGGGCATGGTGCCCAAGAGCTCGGGGCTACCAGCCCAAAGGTTGAGGAGTTGAGCCCCCTCAGGGGCTCTGAGGGACTAAGGCCTGGTGACCTGCTACTGAGGATACCCCAAGGGCCTCTTGGTCACCCAGGTCGCCGTGTGTCGGGGTCCAAGCCACACCACCCGACCACAGGGTTCTTCAGACACGTCCCCTGCCTTTCTCCCCTGGGCCTCCGGGTGGATTCCACCTGCGGAGCCAGAAGGCGCCCTGAACCCTGCTTCTAGACCCACCACGCCGGATCCCACTGCAACAGCCCCGTGCTGCTCCATCTCTGTTTTCACTGGCCTTGGACTTTCTCAAACAGCACACCCTTCTCCAGGGGCCAGCCCCTCCCGACGACATGTCCAAAGGATGGGTGGCCCAGTCTCACCGTCCCTGCTTCCGAGGCCCCCAAACCCACCCCCTTACTTCTTCCGAGACAGATGTGTCCTTTTGTCGGCAGTCCACGGGATTCCCAGTTGTCCTACTGCTGTTCAAATGCACGTTCCTCTCTGGCTGTCCTTATTCAATGTCTGACCCTCGCGTGCATATGCCAAGCTCAAACTCAGTGCCATTGAATGGATGCCAACTCATGCGGCCCTACAGGGCAGGCAGAACGGCCCCTGTGGGCTCCCAAGACCGTCACTCTGTTTTATTTTCCCTTAAGATCGTCATGTCATTCTTTGCAGGGCAGAAAAGCTCATCTCCCCCACACCCCATGGGGAAGCTGGTGGACTTGATCCGGAGCACGTGGCCGGGTCAGGCGCACCTTAGTCGTCAAGGTAACGTTCTTGCTTCCCGACACTTCACCGAGCAGCAGATTGACACAATGCTGCCTCCGTGAGCATGGATCGCGGATCCAAGCAAGACAGATTCTGGACAAGCCCAGCCTTTCCTCCGTCTGCCGGATGCTGCTTCATGGCCCAGTGGGGAGGGTCTGGGGTCTCTTTGCATTGGACAGCCCTTCCCAGGGTTACCTTGGCAAAGAGCCTGCCCCTTCTGTTTTTGATGGAAGTGAGATTCGCATTGAACCCCCAAAAGAACAGCCGTCTGGTTCTCATCCCCCCACAGGGGACCCCACACACCAACCACCGGTCAGTCCCTCTGGTCAGTCCTGGTCAGTCCTTCCTGAACTTGTTTTTTCTGCCGTCACAGCCATGGTTTCCCCCACCCCCACCCCACCCCCTCAGTCTGATCTCTGGCCCTCAGACCTTGGGGGGCCCCCTTCAGAGACATCACAGCTTCACCCGGGCCAGGAGCTCCCGCCCCAGCTGCTCTGCCCCCACGTCACTGACCCAGAACTGAGGGGCTGAGGGTTCAAACCCCCGCAGGACTCAAACGTGGGGCCTCTGGTTCCACTCCGAGCTGCCCACCAGGACCCTGGAGCCCCCGTGCACAGGATGGGAACTGATTGGGGCATAAGGTTGATGGCCCGCCAGCAGGTCACAGTCCCTGCCTGGGCAGCAAATACTCCCTGTTCCTCACAGTGTCCCCACAGATGGAGGGCCACCGTGTGTGTGTGTGTGTGTGTGTGTGTGTGTGTGTGTGTGTGTGTGTGTGTGTGTCTAGGCTGATCCTGGCAGCCTTAGGCAACTTCCCCTTTTCCAGCTGTTCCCCCAGGGGGGGGGGCATGCCTACCGCCAGGACCAATATAAGGGTGTTGCGGCCGCCTGCCCGCAGTCTCCGCTGCAGCCCCACCATGCCTGCGCTGGCTCTCATGGTCCTGCTGGGCAGCCTGCTGTCCTCTGCCTGGGCTGGTGAGTGCCTGTCCTGTGCCAGTGTCCCCCATCTGTGCTGCAGAGGCTTGACGCTGGGCTCTGATGGGGTGGTCACTAGGCCTAAGGCAGCATGTCTGGGCCTGAGCGACCCTGGGGGTGGGGGAGTGGTGGGAAGGGGTGTATGGGGGGCGCCTTCAGGGAGCAGGGAAGGGTGGCCGGTGAAGGTGAGGTTGAGACTGGAGGGGCCTCAAACTGCATCCCTCCCATCCCGCCCCCAGGCTCGGCCCCCCGCGCGGTAATCGTGGGCGGCAGGAGAACTGAGAGGGGGAACTTCCCGTTCCTGGCCTCAATTCAGCACCAAGGGAGACACTTCTGCGGGGGCGCCCTGATCCACAGCCGCTATGTGCTGACGGCAGCCAGTTGCTTCAACACGCCGTGAGGGGCGGGGTGGGGGTGGGGGGCTCGGACAGGGGAGTTGAGGGGCGGGAGCTCAGAGAGAGAAGAGGAGTAGAGAGGACCCGGAAAGGAGGGTGAAAGGGGAGAGGCGGAATGCTCAGAACGGGGCGGGCGGAGATGGAAGGGGGGCTCAGGGGAGGGCTGGCGAGCGAAGCCCCGGAGTCAGAGTGGGAGGGGGTTCCGGGTGGGACCCAGAGGGGCGGTTCCCAGGGGGAGGAGTGAGGAGGGGTCTCAATACGCCCCACAGTGAAAGGGGTCATCCGTCAGGCTCTAAACTAGGGTGCCCCCAGGAACCCCGGGATCGCCACGGTGGTGCTGGGCGCCTACAACTTGAGGAAGAGGGAACGCTCCCGGCAGGTCTTCTCCGTGCGCGGCATCAGCGAGAATGGCTACGACCCCCAGGAGAACCTCAACGACCTGCTGCTGCTGGAGGTGCGGGCGCGGGGGCGCCCCGTGCGCGGGCGTGCGTGTGTGTGGCGTGAGAGTGCACGCGCGCACACGTGCGTGCGTGCATTGCTACGTGTGCGTGCGTGTGCGGACGTGCTTGTGCGGGTGGGTGCGTGTGCGTGTGTGTACACATGTGCTGCACGTTTGTGCTTGTGGGTGTGTGCGCGCACGCGTGCGTTCACGTGCACCTGCATGTGAGCACGTGCCCGTCTGTGCCGTGTGCATGCGTGCGTGCCTGTGTCCTGAGTGTGCGCGAGTCACTGCAAGGAAAGTCTAGGAGCAGCAGGCAGGGTCCCCAGCAGGCAGGGAACGGTGTCTAGGGGGGCACAGCGTCTCCAAAGGAGGGGTGGGGCGGAGAGGGAGGAGCCCTGGCGGGGCGGCCGGATAAGCAGCAGGCTGGCACCCCTGAGAACCAAGAGCCTCCGGCTCCTAGCCCAGGTTCTGGCTCAGTGCGCTCGCTTCCATGCACGGGGTGGGGCGGGGCGAGGCCCCCCCTGCCGTGGAGACTCCAGGACAATGCCCCCATGCTGAGGCACCCCGCCCCTGCCCGCCCAGCAGGGTCACGGACCCTGCCCGGTCGCTGGCTCTCCGCTAGTGCGACGGGAGTGGGCTCCCAGCTGGTGTTTCGGCCGGATTCCCATCTTTTCCTGGTTCAGCCTCACACACATTCACGCAGATGTTCCCCCCTCGCATTGGGCTGCTACCCGCTAAGTCAGCAGTTCGAGATCACCAGCAGCTCCTAGGAAGAAAGAGAAAGTTTTCCACTACCGTAAGAGGTCCAGTCTTGGACACCCCCAGGGGCAGTTCTACCCTGTCCTCTAGCGTCGCTGTGAGCCGGCCTCTGGTTGATGGCAGCGACGTTGGTTTCCTTTGGGTCTGCTACACGGAGCCCAGGCGGCTCTATCTGCGAGGTGATCGGTTCAAACCCACCAGCTGCTCCACAGAAGACAGACGAGGCTGTCTGCCCGCCTAAGGATTCACAGCCCAAGAAACCCTATAGATGAGCCTGGTTTGGTTTTCCTGGATTGGCTGTACATGGCAAGGGGCCCTGGTAGCGCTTTGGGTTAAGCATTGGGCTGCGAATCCCAAGGCTAGTGGTTCAAACCCACCTGCTGCACCTCAGGGGAAAAACAAGGCTGTGTGCTCCAGAGAGAGTGAAACCCACAGGGCAGTCAGTCCCCCCCACCCGGACCTGCAGGGCCGTCCGCTGTGGGCCTGCCATTTGTGCGCATACCCTGCGTGTGCCATGGGTCTAGGAGCCAGCGCAGGGGCTGTGGGTTGGGCTTCTGCGTGAAAAAGCGCAGGTCCCGCGAGAGCAGGAGGTCAGTCCTCCCCTGGGAGCTAGGATTTGAGCCCAAAGCATGCGCTGCCTGCTCCCAGCGAGCTCCATCAGGGCCCAGAGCCCAGGCCCGCCCCCTGTGACTCGGTTTCCCTCCCCAGCTGGACCGTGAGGCCAACCTGACCAGCAGGGTGGCGCTGCTGCCCTTGCCCCTGCAGAACTCCACAGTGGAAACGGGCTCCAGTTGCCAGGTGGCCGGCTGGGGGGCCACCCAGCCGAACGGAACACTCTCCTGCTGCCCCCGGGTCCTCAATGTTACCGTGACGCCCAAGGAGCAGTGTCGGCCCAGCAACGTGTGCACAGGTGTGCTCGGCAGCCAGGGCGGCATCTGCCAGGTAGGACCCAGGGGCATCCACTGGGGGCTCCGTGGGGCTGGGGTCGGCAGTTTTGAGGGCTCCCCCCAGATCTCAGGGTGCTAACACTCAGATGCTCGACAGTTTCACAAAGGCTGGGCACACCACCAAGGGGGTCTGGTGGGACAGTGGGTCAGGCAACAGGCCGCTGACTGAAAGGCTGGTAGTTCAAACCTACCAGATGCTCCTTGGGAGAGAGGGGAGGCTGCCTGCCACAGTCTCACACACCCTCTGGGGCAGTTCTGTTCCTCCCTGCCCGGTGGTTATGAGTCCGTCACTCCATGGCAGTGGGGTGGGTGCAGGAAGAGACAGCAGGGGTGGGGAGGGCAGGCATTGTCAGACATGTAGCCCCCCACAGAGTTAAGGTGGACAGTACAACCCAAACTGGGGTGTCAGGGTGTTTCTGGAGACATCTGAGCCCCCAAACTGGGCCAGGAGCTGACCAGAGAACCTGAGACGCACACAGAGAGGGACCAGCAGGTGCAAAGGCCCTAAGGTTGGAATGATGAGCAAGAAGAGGGGGGGAGTGGGGGAGGCAGGTCCTCAGTACCTCACGTGCCTGCTCCCTCGCAGGGTGACGGAGGCGTCCCCCTCGTTTGTGGTGGCCTGGCTCATGGTGTGGCCTCCTTCTCCATGGACCCCTGTGGCACCAGTATCGACTTCTTCACCTCCGTGTCCCTCTTCCGAGACTGGATTGACTCCATTGTGAACACCCCGTCTGACGAGCCAGTGGGGGAGCCTTGATCCCCCTCCCAGCCCCTCACCGACCGGGTCACATCTGAGATGTCTCATGCGTCCCCCGAATCGCATCTCTGGGTCTGAAGACACCCCTTCCACCCCTAGGTCCTTGTGATTGTGATTAATAAAAATGTCATTTACTGCTGTGTCCAATGTCTGCGTGTGTCCCCAGGGTGGGAGACAGCCACCCCCCGCACACACACCCCCGCCCACACCAGGTCTCCGGACTCTCCAGGAACCAGGGCTGCTGCTAGCTGCACCTGACACAAAGACTCCAGGCCACCCGAGGTCTAAAGGCTGCACCTGACACAGTGGGGACCCAGGCCACCTTCGGTCCGCTGGCTGCACTGGACATGGGGTGGACCCAGACCCCTGAGGTCTCATGGCCGCACCTGACACAGGGGGACCCAGACCCCTGAGGTCTCATGGCCGCACCTGACACAGGGGGACCCAGA